AAAAGAGAATAGTCTGCTTTCTGTGTCCATGGTATATAAGAAACAAAGTAAATGGCTTCATCCTGCCCATGTGAAGATCCACATAAATCACAAGGAAGTACTTTCTAGTGGTCAAGATAGCCCAGCCCTGTGATAAATTGCTTGGGGCAGTTGTGGAGTCTCTAAGCATAAACTGGACAAACAGCTGTTGTAGATGTAATTGATGCTGCCAAGGAGCATGGAGAGGAGTAGGATTCAGGTTCATTTCGGCCCTGATTTTCTACCTTTCTTTGTAATAGGTACCATAAATAAAATTTAAGAAAAGGGCCAGAGTTTTAAGCAGTCTTCATTTGTCCTTTTGTCAAGTTAGATAGGAGATTGAATTATTAAAGAATAATACAAAGAGCAAAAGGAATTCTAACGCAGAAATTAAAAGAAGCTTAAATAAAGAAAAATATTTCTACTGCAGTCCACTGCAATTGTTCAGTCATGAGTTTCTGTTGTGTACCATGAAAATAAAGGCCAGGATGATGACTGCCTTTATTTTAACCTTTTGGAAAAGGGCCTGTATATTATTCCTACCAAGTGTCATGCTAAGTCTGCCCTCCAAATTTATTGAAGAGTAATAAGACTATCATACTGAATTTTGCTAGGATACCTTTCTTCCAGATAATCTGAGACACTCTATACTAATGATGCAGTACCCCACTGTGTGCCTGAAGCACAGCTGATTCACCCACCTGGCCTACATACATCTCGTTGGCTAAAGCAATTGGAAAAGAAGTGTGATCATAGGGTGCACAAATATATTTTTTCTCTAATTATTTTATTTCCTTTGCATTTAAATTCACAGCATTGTTACGGACTAATCGGGTTCTCTAGTGTTTCCATTTTACTTTTTCTTGCTTGTTCTTTTTCTCTAAACAGAATAGCCATGTGTTCCTTAAAATCAGTACTGTCCCTATGTATAGCACTTGCCTTCATGTGGTATTCAGAACAACAACAATAAAAAAACAGAGTAGAAGGTACATGAGAAAGCATAATTACTCTTCCTTCTGCCATTGACCAGCTGCTCAGATAAGACTGCTGTGCACTTCTTCTGCAAGGTCTTCTTCTGCAGTCCTTGCTGTGGTATCCTGTAGGGGCCTCTCTTCCATCTACATCTCATCAGGCCAGACAAAGTGCTGCTATTCTGCAAGTAAACCTTACATTTTTGTACGTAGATGTTAAAAGACATAACTAGAGCTAAATATATCCATGTAATGTTGCCATGGAAATACAGAATTTGTCTGTAAACATAAATTTTCTGTATCCACCTTATTTCACCAACACAAATGAGCAAAGCTGCAATCAGAGAGCTGCCATGCCATTATTTGCTTTTAGTGGTTGGCATTGTCTACTGAAAATCAGAAGAAAGTGAATACAAGACATTTTAGCTGGTGTAAGAGTATCATGTCATGAACACATTTTACGAGCATGCTATGTTAAACTGTTGTGCAGCACTGCGCATCTAAAAACTCTTCATCCGTCTATAGAATTCAGATGTTTTTCAAGTCTCATATGTATCTTATTTGATGGGAAAAGCGATGTAATACATCAATGCCCAGATGATGAAATTAGTCAGTACACTGCTCTGGCTTGGTTCTTGGGCCCTGACCTTCTCATTTCATCGCATCATTTAGTCATTAAGAGACATGGCATATAACTAGTAGAGCACAAGCTATCTATTTTGCAATGAGAGTAAGCAGTGCCCAAAGCCATACTCCAAACTGGGAGAGTCTTCGAACTTGTGCTGCAGAGGCACTGTCTGCAAAGGAACATAGTCCTTGTTAAAACCAGTGTATGAGAAATGAAGAGCAGTCAAAGTGGAGTGTGTGTTGAAATGTGCTATCCAAAGTGGATTGTGCTAATTTAACTAAATCCATTTCTAAATCAAGGTAGTGTAACTCAGAATAATGTTCACAAATACACCAGACAATGTAATTGCCAAGCAGTTTTCCATACCAAGAGTTATTATGCTACATGGGGAGCAGAGCTGTTGGAACTGGTGAAAATTTGCAAACAAGTCCCCTGGTCTTTACCAGGTAAGAGTGAAGTGCTGAAAATGGACACAGTCTTGGAAGGTCCTGCTCATAGTGGGTTGTGGAGCAGGAGATGCGCTCAGTGAATGACAGGTGACTCAGGCTGGAGGACAGGAGGCCACTGTGTGTGCTGGAGACCTTCAGTAACAAGGCTCTTTGGAGGCAGATACCTTTTACAGAAGTCCAGCCAGCCGTCTCTCCTCTTGGAGTGCTGGGTATCCACAAAGCTAGCTGATACTTGTATGTGGTTGAAGAATGGGATTTCTGCATCAGTGAAAACACTGGGGGTTTTTTGTCTGTTTCACATTAATTCATAACAAAACTATTGACCCTATTGATCAACCGCAATAAAATTTGACAGGAGGCTAGGTCTTGAAGATACACAATGTGAACAGTAGGTCTGTTAAACCTGTGACCTGGCAGCTTGAGGCAGCCCCAGCAACATGCATGAGTGGTTTGAGCTCTGCTGGTGTCATCTCATGCCTAAATATGAAGTCAGGCAAGAGGAACAGTGGGAGAGACAATGGAGCAGCAGGGACTAAGGCTAGGGATTGCAGCAAACATAACAGGCTCTATGTGGAATGCAGGGAGAGGTCGGCAGAGGTGCTATGGATGGGAAGGAACTCTGAACTAGGATGCTGGGAGATAAGGAGAGGTGTAGTGAAGTGGACAGGAGTAGCTGCAGGTGTTGTGAGGAAGGAACATATGAGTGAACTCGGTTGCAGTGTTGCAGTAGCAGTCTTTGAAAGATGTGGGCTGTGTTATTGAGGCAATTGACATTTGGGCATCCCCATCCTGTGAAGTTTTCTGCACAGAGTGGGCTGGGTAGAGAAGGGAAATTTTCCTACATAGGGTCTTATTGGTTTGTAAAAAGAAAATAGTTCATGCTAACAGTTCAGTACAAATATGTTAAAAGGTCAGTCAGTCCTGAGGCACAAGCTTGATTAGCAGATGTCATTGTTTATGGTTCTTGGTATGTTTGAGAAATGAGCCTTCCGAGCCAGTCTCACTTTGCAACTTAAAAGGAAGGAAAAGTTGAACAGCTTTTCGCAATGTTTTTCCCAGATTTCCCTCCCACAAAAATGCATTCCTGGGAAGAGAAGAAAATGTCAATGCTTTCAGCCTCACACTATAAAATGGTTTTAAGATTATGGGTATGTGTAAAAAGAGGACCCGCTAAAAGACTGCAGTCTTGGCTGAACATTTCTCTGCACAAATTTGGTCAAAAATTTTTGTGCGAATGAATCGGATCTGTTTGCTTTCCACCAAGTGGCTGTGAAATGTCTGATCCTTCTCACTCCTACAGCATCGGCTAAACAAATTTGCAGCACATGAACGTGGATCTATTCAGACATCCCTTTCTGTCCACTCCAACATGAGTGCTTTTGGCGCACTCCTTGCATGGTGCTATTACATCTACATATCAAACACATCAGTGTTAGTTATGGGAGCACCCTTGCTACAGTTATGTCTTCATTGGCAGATAGAGATGTATTTTTATCCAGGATAGAGATTGTGTGCAGCTGTGCAGATGTGACCGCATTAAATGATGTAGCAGTGTGCAATCCATCAGATTCCATCTATTGTTGCCTGATTTTACCTTGGATAGCTGACTAACTATCTCATTATGGAAAACACATCTGGGGCAAGCACTTAGATTTCACTGTGAAATAAAGTAGATTAAAGTTTTCAGCTGATCTCCATAAACCATGTCATGACAAATACTGCACCTTTAGGGTTTTAGAGACAGTCAACAAAAAACATTTATTGCACTGTAAGAAGCACACACTTTAAAAGGACTTAGTGTCACTAAAACAATATCCAAGGAAAGAGCAATGTATTCTTATTTAATGTTACATAATCACTGGCAACTTAAACAAACTAAAATTCCAATGAGATACACTAGTCAAGAATTCATCTCAGATGCTACCTCCAGTGCACACTGTAGCCCTGCTTTTAAAATAAATATTCAACCATTTGCCATTTGCTGCGTAACAATGCACATACAGGGATTTTTGAACAGTAAAAACACAGCTGAGAGAGATGCTACTAAAGTGTAGACCAGGAGAGTTTAAATAAGATAACATGATAACCCTTAAGCATTTTTCTTCCAAGGCTTCAGAGGTTTCTGCTGTTTTATCAACAGGAAATACTGAGTTTGTTTCACTAGTTTATCCTTTTTTGTATATCAGTACATTGAATATTTTTTCTGTGTCTCTCTGTAGCAGTGTAAGAGACAATCAGATACTCCAGAAATTCTTCTTTTCTTTAGTTCAAGGCAGGAACAACATCCTTAAAGGAATTCTGTGGTGAGTGAAGTCACATGTACTGCATGTGCTTTGGCAAGACAGATGGATTTTTGAGACTCTGCATTTGAGTGGTTTTAAAACCCTTCAGAAGCCTGCCTCAGGAATCTCAAGGATTTTATAGTTGCCCCAGAACACATACTACATCCTTTCTACTCAAAGGTGTCTATTTAGTAGTTTAATAGTTGTGTGACCACTTTCTTGTCTCTCAGAATTTTATAAGGTGAAGAAACTACCTTCTTCTGAGCCAGACCTTGGTATCCCAATATCTACAAGATTACTTCCTAGAAGCTATATACTTATTATACTTATATAGAATTGCATTATTCATATATCAGTTATATTTATAAATGTATTTATATTTTTAATACTGCTGTATTTTAAAAATCAGTAATACTTTCTGATATATTTTTCTTCTCAAATGGTTGTGATGCTGTCTTTGCCTTCCCAAATTTTAGTTTCCTGTCCAGATTACGGTATGCACCCAAGGATCCTATCCTCTGCAGAAAAAAAAGCTGCTGACTGTTAGTTAAGTGACTCTGTGTCACACACATAGCAGATTATTAATCTGCTGCTATAGATTATTAGGAAGATGTTAACACATGCTTGACCATTTCACTTTCTCTTTTCCTAGTACCTGCATGCAAATGGGATTGTGCATCGTGACTTGAAGCCAGAAAATCTACTCTATGCAACACCAGCACCAGATGCACCACTAAAAATTGGTAAGGAGCATTAAATGTATTATTCCTTAATTCGTTTGTACCAGTAGTATGTGCTAACTGATGTTTACAGCGCATACATCTTGCCTCCACTTTATCTGAACCTAATGCTTATACTCACTTGAACAGCGTGGTACTTCTTCAGCAGCACACATGTGCATGGTGTTTTTAAAAACAATACAAAACAAAGTGCTTTTTTAGAGAATCCATAGCCAAAATTGTGCAGAACATGTCAAAGAATAAAGCACTCATGAGGAATAAGGATCAAGAAATCAGTACGAAGCTGTGTCTTTGCCCCTTATTTTTGTTAAGCTAGTATTTTAAGAGATTCATTGGCATGAAAGTGCATGTGCTCAGGTAGGTGGTAGACAGTGAAATGAACAAGGCTGACTTCTGTTTTGAAGGCAGATTTGAGGGATAAGAAGAAATTATCTTTGCAAAGAGCATAGAGGAGCTGTCTGAAGCACCACAGAGAGGATGTGTAGGGACAAGGTGAGGCCAGGCTCTCCTAGACAGAGATGTATTATGCCAGTTCTGTTGGGGATGACGGTCGATTGCAAAGGACGAGATGTTACCCAAAAATGTTGGGTATGCCTAGTGTCAGCTTGAGCAAAAAGGAGCTCCGTGCAACACTCCTGGGCTGCAGGTAACCAGTTTGGAAATACCACCTTGTGCTCCCTTACTGGGGAGCACGGTAGCATGCACGGAGTCAGTGTTGAAATGTTTGCCAGGCCAGTGTTCATTGTGGGTTTCAGGAGCCAGATTTCCACAAACTAGTCTGAAGCAATTTAGTGTAAGTTTCTAGGAAAGTCTTGCATCTCAGGGTGATGTTATCTTAATATATGTTTTATCCTAGTTCTTATCTTTCCTGGAAGGACTCTAAACAGCTGTAACTTCATAGTTTAATGCAGCACCCTGTGGGCTCTATTTGATGGCCAGAGTGGTTCAGAGACTTCTGAAGCATTTTCCTAAATGCTATGATTCTTCATCTTCTGGTTAAGGTTATTGCCTTGTTTAAATTAGAGACCTGATTTTTCTATATTATAATACACTTGTGAATGGCAGTGTCTAAAGAAAGTAAAGTATATTTCAGTTTCGATAAATAATAATGCATAAATGATAACCCTAAATATGAATTTCTGGAAGAAAAGATGAACTATTTTTATTCTGATCTTGAGTCAAAACATTCCCTTCTGTATTTGCTGTAACAAAACAAAACTACTTTTATTTTGCATTTTTTAAGGCCAGATTGTCATCACCTAAATGGGAATTTTAAAAAGCTCACTTTATTCTCAGTGGAAACTAAAAGAGTTATGAAGATTTCCATTTTTATGTCTTTTAAAAAATGAGTCATGCAAGGAGAGTGTCTAAAGTCATAAAGGATCTTGCTGTCTGATTAGTAATTCATGGTAGAAACTCTGCAAAAACAATGATCAGTACTTCTCCCAGCACAACCTCCCTGCACCTCTATCAAAATACTCCTGCGATTTTGTCTTGCAGAGACCATGTGCTCTGACCCTTATCCAAGAATTCATTGATGCACAGTTTTTTAACCCACAATTGTTCTGTTAATTTTGTTGGATCACTCACAGAGTTGATGCTGAATATATCTCAAAAACACATTTCTGGATAACTGCTTGTATGCCCTTAGGCATCCCATTGTATGGGCTTTGTGCAGTCTTCAAGACAAAATGCAAGCTACATTTCTGTCAGGCCAGAGCCAGGAATGCTCATTTGTGTGGAAAGATTTTGCTTCTGCATTGCAGTCTGGATAGTATCTTTCAATCAGTCCTCATCCCTGGAAATTACAATACTGTTCATTTAATGCGTAAACATTCATTTGACTACATATACAGCATTTAAAAAAAAATGATTTTACAAGGAAATAAGAAAATTAATATTCCTAAACAATCTTTAACAGCTGACTTTGGACTTTCGAAGATTGTGGAAGACCAGGTGACCATGAAGACAGTTTGTGGAACTCCAGGGTACTGTGGTACGTTGTTTTATTATTTACTGTACAGTGCAATTAATGTAGGGATTTTACATTTTCTCTTTCTAAGGTGAAACGCTTCTTCCTACAGTGAAAATTTGATAAGCCCCTAAAAAGCAGAAATAAAAGACTAAGATTCAGAATTGGCACTGGCTTAAATTTTTCTAAACTCATATTCACCAGCACTGAAGCTTAATAATCAAAATATATGTTATGGTGCCAGTTCATTGCTTGCATGAAAATAAGTTTGACCATTGTAGGAATGCTGAAATTGCTAAATATAAAACTGGAGAGGAATCAGTAGAAATTTGGAAATGCATAATGGAAAACATTAAAAATATAGAGAGTTCATAGTAATTATGAATATTTGAATATTGCTTACAACGAATTTATCTTAAAGTAATTTTTTTTGTAGCACAGAGGGAATTATTCCTTAAAATAAGGTCCTAAATTAGTTCCCTAAACTCAAAACATTTCACCAAATACATGGTTTTAAGTGCCAGCTTGACTCAGACCATTCTGGACCATGCTGGAGTGGGACCTGTGTAACAGAATTATGAGTGCAATATCAAGAAGCACTTTGTGGCAGAGTTTGTCAACTGAGGTGACTGGTGTAGAACTAGTCATCTCATTCAGCATTATAAAGGCTTTGGCACTTTTTACGGATCTGTTTTCTCCTAAACAAAAGGTTTGCTTCAGTTTTACCAAGAGACTGAGAGTCAGCATGAACCGCTGCTTACCAAAATTACTTATTTGCCTGTGCATTCACAGTGCTTCAACAAGCATGACTTTATGGATGACTTCAGAGCAAACATCTAACTCGTGAGCTTAGCACTGTATTACAGAAGGATGGTAATTTTAATACTTTTAGTATTTAGAAATTAGGAAATTATATACTTAGTGATGCTGGGGTTTTATTTTTCAGTTGGTATCCTTTAAGGACATTTTCTATTTGTTTAGAAGATGTGCATAAAGTTTAGAAACTGTGTTTCATCTCAGTTGTCCTGCTCTTACATGTTTCTATTCTTTACAAAATCACAGCTAGTTCATGCTTCTCAGTCTTGTAGTTTTTAATAATGTAAGGCATCTAATCTGAATGCAAGCAAAACCACCACTAGTACTTGAAATTAAAGCAATTTTTCATAGAATCACCTTTAGGTAAAAATATATTCCCTCACTGTTACATGGGAGAGTGAGGTTTTGATAAGCAAGTGAAAAAACATAGTACTGGTAACAGTCTGTAAATAATGAGGAGGTTTTTTTTTTCTTCTTAAACTGCTTTGGGGAGAAAATAAGTGGGGCAGAGAGCACACACTACAATTGCCACATGCATAATATCTGGCACAATGCCATAGCTGTGCTGTATGTCAGGTATCAGTAAACCAAAAGGGTTATAACTAAAAGAAACCCTCAAAAAATCCAACATCTAAAATGAGAGTTCGAGCACATAATCTGCCACAACAGGGAGAAAGCAAGCATACAACTGATCTTGTTAAAAATAATTAAAAAGATGCTGCTGAGCTGCAGTGGCCATTCCCTCATGGAGCCAGAGCATTTTTCTCTGCCCAGGTGCCCAGCATGACCATCCCCTGCACACAGCAGACTTCTCTTCAGTAGCAGTGACCTGCAGATAGCACAGGCCTGTAGGATCCTCTGTCCCTGTGGAGAGCCCCCATCCTGCCTGCAGGCAAGTGGTCTGCAGAGAAGGGCAGACCCCTGGAGGGATCTGCAAGGCTGAGCAGCCAGCAGCTGGACAGAGCCTTGCAGACTGCTTAGCAGCTTTCAGCAGGGCATCCTGTGTGTGCTGTTGGGCTCCTGGTACACCACCCTTCTGCACAGCTTTGCTGTCAGAGCAAGGACAGCTAGCTCCTGGAGATGTGCAGAAGCTCACCTGGACTCCTGGAAGCAGAAAATGAGCCAGAAATGGATCCTCCAGTGCTAGAACGGAGTCCCTCTACAAGAGAAAACTGCAACCACCACTGCAGTCTGCTCGGCCTTCATTGCAAGGCACTTCCACGTCAGCAAACCCTGGCCTGGTGGTATTGTGTACACCAGGGCAAGCCTGCTGGGCTTCCCATGGTGGATGCTCACCTCCAGCAACCAGTGTGATCTTATGAA